CAATCATAACTTGTGGCATAATTTAATGTAATGCTTAGTACAGGCAATACGAATAGTTGCACAAACCACACTGAAAAAAGCATTGATAGATATTGGTCTGTAAAACTGATATCTAGAGTGATGCCTCAAGATAGAAAGGAAAGTTGTTTTGTACACAATAGTGAATACACTGTTAACTAAATACGTACTTTTGTCTTTTCAAAGACGACGTGGTAAACACAAGAATGAGCAGTGGGTAGTTAAGGTAAATGGCGCCCGGTTCCATGATGATACCTCAAACGGCCAGAATATGATGCCCGAAGATTGTATCAGCTCTTTTGGCGCCCCAAATCCTCTCTTACACCCGTGGCAAATGCCTTCACCCCACCCTCGTTAGTAAGTTAATACAAGTAATATATGTCTATAACTTCAAGTTTACTTTCAACAACGATGTCTGAATGTAACATACCTTTATGACGCATATAATGCTAATAATAATTGCACAGATATTAAACAATTAAGCATACGTTGGAATGACTCTAACTTGATTGTAAGAAAAGTAATTATAAAAAAGATTAATTATTAATGATTTTTGATTAGTAAAACTATAGAAGAATTCTATTTTTGAATAATAATGCTAATACAAACAATTCATCTGGATGTATACAAGAGTTTATCAAAGTATCAATTGCATGTACTATGTGTATATTCGTTGGACAGGTCCTAAACAGAACATATCTCACGCAGCATACTTCGTCCATGTCAGATAATGTGAAAATGTAATGCAGCTAGTCATTTTAAGGTCAGCAAGGTCACAATTCAAATAAAATCATCTTGATAAAATTTCAAAAATATATTTCATATTCAAAAGTGAAAATACGCTGTGCTATTGGTGGCGGGTTCTCATATGAAGGGGTTTTTTTTTGGAAACTGGAGAGAAACAGAAAATATGAAAGAAACAGTCAACATTACTTGCATTTGTTATGGTAAAGACGAAACCGGAACCAAACTTCCAAAACATCCCAACCAAAGTAAAAATAAAAATAAACCTATGAAAAGATCAAAACCTCAGAAAAATAGATAAAATACAAGTAAAAGAAAGCAAGCAACTCTCAGTCAAATAGGGTATATATTAAAACAGAAAACTTCTCTAAAACAAATCTAAATGAAACTGAAAAATAATGATAGATCTTTGTTGGAAGGAAATCCATAATGCTAAAAATAGCACTAATGCAAGAAAATGAAATGGGAAAGTGGGGTTTTAAGCTACTTGCTATAAAATCCAAAGTTATATTATACATGTATACATGTGATAAGAAATTATAACGCTCTAAGATAAACGCATATGCCACTTTAAATGCATATAAGAATTCAATGGAGAACACTTGGACGCCTTAGACATGAGAGGAATACATCATAGCCAATAGGTTGGGTTAGGGTTTAGATATATCACACTCTAATTACAGGAGATTAAACTCGTCAAACCCCACCCTTGCATGCTAGAAAATGCGCACACCCCACCTCCGCAAAAAAAAAAAAACGGCTATCAAGCCCTTTCCAAAAATAAGCAGTCTAACCATTTCAAGTAACAAGATGAGACTACAAATAACTAATAATGAAAATTAATGCTCTGACACAAACCAGCAAGACTCACAGTGGCTAATGTAGCAGGTGACAGTTTAGTAAATCTGCTCCTGTAAAATTTCTTAACCTAAGGCAATGATGTAATTATTTCAGCATTTATTGGTTAATAATTAAAACTATGTTTATTTATGAATTAAATGCTTCGGACTTGTGTTAAAACTATGTATATATCTATGAATTATGTGCTTGGTACTTATGTTAAAACTATGTATAATTTATGAATTAGATGCTTCGGATTCGTGTTGTTCTTGAAACTGGCGTGAATCATACGCATCCCTCACAGTTACTTCACATTACGGAGAGTTGGCTAGAAACTATTCCTAGCCACGCAGAACACATGTCCCATGCACCCAATATAATAATAGGTAAGCAATCTCCGTTAGAAACAGAGAGAACAGAGGTTATGTCCCTTAAGTAATGGGTGAATATAAGAGTAAACTAAATTTCAACTTTACGATACATGTTATCATCATGACAGATGTTATAAGCGGCATAACATTAGAGATTCGGTCAATGCACTTGCTCGTAAAATAATTATTCTCTAAAAGAGCCTTAGTCCAATAGACCATTTCACGGTTATTATCTCCCCTTGAAAACACCAGAGAGCGTATCGGTGCAACTAACTTCCGGATAGTTCAATCAATAAAGATGGTAGATGTAGATCAAGAAAATGTGACAGACCTCTCACATTCCGCAAGTCAGATCGATATATCTCTATAATTATCTTAAAAATAAATTCTATCATTATTTGATCAATTGTTTTGTTTTTTTTCATCCTTTAATTTTTTCAGTAACTTGCGCTGTTGCCAGCTTTCAAATAAATGATCTCAGTCCATTTGAAAACTTCATTATCTTTCTATTACTACCTCATTCTCTAGTTTGTATTATTTGATTGTGCAAAAGTGTATCGTTGGTTAAAATGATTTTTACTGCAATTTATCTCACTTGAATAATTATGAAAATATGTTTATTACAGCTTTAATCATTGCAGTTAATGGAGGTTGAACGAAAACGAGAAAAAATTCTAACTTCTTAAAGGAGACCAAAATAAAAAATTTGCTTTTTATGTATGTTTTTTAATTCGACTGTAATGTTTATAAATTACATATCGTAGGTGTAGTGATTATATTGCGCGGAAAATACCACGATTCTGTAAATAACCAACAGTAATATAGTAAAAAAATTAAAAAATAAATTTGTCATCAGTTAGCTTAAATCACATGAATGATCACTGTGAATGATAGGTAATTTTCTCTACAAACAAAATCGCATCTCCATTTACCACCTGACATTTCTCTACCGTATATGTAAAATTGTATTACTATGATTAAATTAAAAGAAGGAATAAAATAATATGCAGTGTGTGTGTGTGTGTATATATATATATATATATATATATATATATATATATATATATATTTATATATATATATATATATATATATATATATATATATATATATATATATATATATATATATAATCGATAAAGACTTTTGTATTTATATTAATGTTCATTATATTTTTCATTTAATAACGAGTTATATCTAGAAATGATATATATTTTTCAAAATGCACAAATGCCAACCACGCTTGAACAGACAGGCGCACATACGAATCTCCTTGATGATTATTTTATTTTTATTTCCTTGACTGAATGTAATTTTTAGAGTATACAATTTGGAGAAATATTGATACACTATGTATGAATATGACGTTTGTGTCTCTCACCTATCTGCCTGTCTGTCTATCGTCTGTCTGTCGGTCTCATTTCATCTGGTGCATGGATATGTATATGTATGAATATGCTTGAATGAATGTATTCGCATACGTATATTACATAAATATACTTCTGGTTAAAAACGAGCATATAGTGGTGCTTTTTAGAAAGAGAGACTGATAGAAAAAGACAACAAATATGAATAGTTGTGACTATCCATTTATTATTGACTTGAAGAGCATGTTCATAAAAACATTCACACACATGGCAGGATGCAAAAGAAGGGGTGTAAACAAATAGGAATGAAATCCTTTACAACAATATCTCTTTTTTAAATCATCCTATCTGTAATTTTACATCCGGTCACGTGGATCAGTATTGATTGAAAATGTCCACCAACGTAATAGGACGGAATATGTGAAATAATTGGATCTTTAAAACTTGCATATTTGATGCATGGAAAGTTAAATAAAATTAAACTAAATTTAAGAAAGCTGTTTCATATGAATTTGTTGGTGGCAATCACAAATGGTGTCTAAAGACTCCAGCAAATTTGAGAATTATAACAACGTGTCAGTATAGCCAAAGGAAAATCATGCTGAAAGTTATTGCATGCACCGTCCGATGCTTGATGTTTCAACCAGCGAGAAATATAAATAATTAATGTTCCATTTGTGTAAAAAACAAAACATTTCTTGTCTGAAATATTCAGCATTACAGATCAGCTGACGTATCGAACTCGTGTTATAATTTTCATATCGAACTCGTGTTATAGCTTTCTTAGCTTGTGTTATACACGAACTATTTGCCTTGAGGAAATGAATGAGAAAGAATGACATATCAGCTTACGAAAAATGCCAAAAATTGAGATGATTTTCGTTAAACATATGCAGACAAAAATGTGCAATAAATGTTTAAAGTCGGAGAGCAAAATGAAAAGTCCTACAAATGTATCTGAAATTATGGATTATGAATATATATTATCTTGTATAATATAAGTATGGACAGTATATATAAATTAATTATTTGATATCATTTAGGTACGAGCAGTAAATATTATTTAATTATCGGATATAATGAAAGTATATATACCGAATCTAATTATCTGATGTAATGTCTATAATTATTCTCCTGGTATGAACAAAACATGTTAAGACATATATAATTTATTCATTGGTTTAACCATAACGATCTGTAGTACAGCTAAGATTTTGAACTATCCAGAACTGGAAATATTTTGTGGCTATGCGCATTGGAGCTAAGGGAGGTAATTTTAAGTGCTACGATCAGTAACTCCGTTGCAACCGTGAAATGCCCTATAGGCAATAGGCAATTTCTGAAGACTATCATGTTAAGTGTACTGCTTCCGGTATATTTCGTGCAAATTTTGAAGCAGACAAAATACAGCATTAAATGTGTGTGTGTGATTTTTCATTTTTAGCGTAGTTTTAAAATATTTTCAGTTATATCGCTACGATGTCCGCAGTGTGGCCTTTTACAGCGACGTGTAACACTGGAACATCACGCCTCCAACATGTAGCATAATGTCACACCCTGTCACATTATCCTGACACCAGGGCTACCAGTTCTATTACTAACTTCTTAATGCTGAACGTCAAGCGAGGCAGCTGTTAGTAACATTTTTTAAGTCTAGTACAACTCGAGGCCGGGGTTCGAACCTGCGACCTTTCACATCCAAGGCGGACGCTCTAACCCCTAGTCCACCAGAACGGTCCATCACTAAATTTATGTCACACAGGCCAATTAAATGTTAAATAAACATTACAAAAGAATACGTCATTAAACTAAAGGAAATTATTTTAAAAATTTTTTATTCTAAGAATAGACGGACTAAAATATAAATACCTTAATTTTAGTGTCATTTTCTTTTAAACAATGTGTAAGGGTCTTTCAAATTTTGGGATATTATATTTACATGCAAGATTGTACAAATATTAAAGCATTTGATTTAGTTTCTGAGCTATTCTTTCGTAAGATGAATTCCGTTACGTATACTCCAGCTGGTTTTAAGATGATATAACCTGATATTTTCTTTCTCCCCATTGCAGTACAATGAATAGTTCCATTTTCCCCCTCTTCTTCTTCTTCTTCTTCTTCTTCTTCTTCTTCTTCTTCTTCTTCTTCTTCTTCTTCTTCTTCTTCTTCTTCTTCTTCGCATTCTTCTTCTTCGCATTCTTCTTCTTCGCATTATTCTTCTTCGCATTCTTCTTCGCATTCTTCTTCGCATTCTTCTTCGCATTCTTTTTCTTCTTGTCCTTGTCTGTAGGTATGAAACAGAAATCGTATTACACTATTTGCTTATGATTATTTCGTTCTGCACATTTTACCTTTTCTTAATGCACGAAATATTGATATTATATTTTCATATACCATTAATGAATTACAAATGACAAATTTGTTTTTAGGGCCACTAAATCTTCTTTACTATAGATGCGGCTGAATCATGTAGATTTGACTATTTTAAGCTGTTTATCGAAGTCGATAACCGCTTACAGAAATTGAAAATTTATCCACATTCCAACGTAGTTGTTGAGACGAAGTCAATAGATTGGCCGATTTTTTTAATATTTGTTTTTAATTATGGAAAACAACGCAGAGCCGCAAATGTAGGACACGAATTTTAATTTCATCTGGACTTAATTCAACTTCAGAAAACACATTTAGTTTTAAAGCGGAGACCTCTAAAACGCTTCTATTCACAAAACAAAAATATAAATGTACAAAAAATGTATCAAGTGAAAAAGTATCTGTTGAACCAGATACGCGCTATACAAACATTATTACTATATTATTTACAAATTAGTTAGGCTTTATATAAGTGTATTGTATAATCTTTATATATTTATATAGAGGAATTTGTAAAATGTAAGAGTGAAAAAGAAACAATGATACTATGATGGTTCCAGAGATTTTTAGTAGTTACAATAAATATGTTACCTATATTTAAAAGTAGGTAATATATTATATTGATATATGCTAATAATGGCATATAGAGATGTATGTCCATATTTATTTTCCACATTATACAGAGACACACTGGCTGAAAAAGCTGGAGAGAAATGAAGTGCAGCAATTGAGAGGGGAGGGGTTGGAAATATTAATCCACTTAGAAAAGATGGTGCGAGCTTTAAGGGGGACAACCCCGTCCCAGAACACACACACACACACACACACACACACACACACACACACACACACACACACACACACACACACACAGAGTTAGCAAAATAACACACCGGAAGAGAAGATAACAGGTCCACTAAGAAAGAAGAAGGATAATACAACCAACAATAAAATACTCAGATTAATAACGATTTTCAATTACTAACACGCGTTTAACCCAAAAATGGATAGGTAATGCATCCAGAACTAACAAGCAAATAATAGGGGGTTATGTCCCTTAGAAATAGAAGTGGATGATGAGAGGCTATGCTATAAAACGCTACATGATGTAGACAGCTCGCACATGTGATTTAGAAAAAAGGGCCTAACAAAACTTTTGCTACATAGCACAACAAGATAATGGGTAGAAATAATTACACATACTACTATTGGGTGGCCGCAAAATAGACATATCATGCAGATAGTATAAAATAAATAATTATAAAAAGATAAATAAATGACTAATAGTTATTTTCTCAAACATAGTTTTAATTTTTGATTATAATATTTTTAAACCAGCAACTCATTATAGATCTGACCCTATGAAAGCAAGACATGACAAATACACGTTTCTTAGGCTAAGTGCGCATCTACAAGAAATACGACAAACACAAAAAGGACAAATACGCAGCAGTCCATGACCTGGTCATTATTGAATTTCAAAAAATGGGAGAGCGAACCGCGCTAGTTAAGTCATACGAGAGGTATTGAGGTACTAATAATAACGCATAGTGCTTGAACTGGAATGAATGAATGATTGAATGAATGAATGAATGAATGATTTATTGATTGATTGATGGATGGATGGATTGATTGATTGATTGATTGATTGATTGATTGATTGATTGATTGATTGATTGATTGATTGATTGATTGATTGATTGATTGATTGATTGATTGATTGATTGATTGATTGAGTAAGTGAGTGAGTGAGTGAGTGAGTGAGTGAATGAGTTTTACCTTATCAACATTAGGATCGTTCTAGAAGGTTATTTTCGATTAACTAATGATTTTTTTTATTTTTAAACAAATGCTAATTGTGACCTGCGTTCAAGTAGAGAACTACAACATCTTGTAACTAAGAGGATTTGTTCAGTTGTGTTTAAAGACTTAGCACTTTTAAATTGTATTATATGTTATGTCCAGTATTTCATTTTGGGGCTGAAAATTTTATTTCTTTACATCTTTAATTCAAATCGTTTTCACTTAAATCATACATACACACATACACGCACAAGCACAAATTATTAGAACCTGCATCTGTAATTCTTGGATTATTTTGGGATTTAATTAGCAATTTCGTAGGTTCTTTTATCTCATTTTCACTTTGTATTCTAGGGAAAAAAATTATTTGTTGAATTCAACAAAGCTTGTTGCTTTTCACTCTTTTATGTTACTTTTTTCAAGAGCATGGATTCGTAACAGAAAATAGGGCGCTCGTTCTTAGGATGCGAATTTCTCTAAAATATTTCAGAAACTCTGTGTTTGAAATTTTGATTCACCTTGTTTTGGAATTTTCTAACTTCCAGGTGTTATTTTACATTTTAGAAATATTTAGTGAAATGAACAAGCTTTAACAATGTCATCTAAAGTGGACATCTTTATTTCAAATCCTAGCCAGGAACAGTTAGACTCCTTGACAAAGTATAAATTGCTTCAGTTTGCCAAAACAAACGATCTTTATGAGTCAAAGTCTTCTTTAACGAAGCAAGAAATAAAAATAGTTTGGTCCAATGTTTGGTGGAAAGAAAGTTTTGGATGGAATTGCTTTGGATTTGATTAGTTAGTCTCTGTCAGACTCTAACTTACAAGTCGTGGACTTAAAATTAAAATACAAGAATAAATTTGTTTAAGAAAGCTTGAGCTTCAATACACAATTTTATCAAGAGGAAATAGAGAGAGAGAGAGAGAGAGAGAGAGAGAGAGAGAGAGAGAGAGAGAGAGAGAGAGAGAGAGAGAGAACAGATGCAATTGGAGAAAGTGGAAAGGGAGATGCAAATAAAATTGCAGATACAGATAAAAAGAGAAAAGGAAGACAGGGAATATCAATTTAAATTATTTTACAGACAGATTCAAGGAGTCTAGGACATCTCACCCACCCACCCCGACATTTCCAACCCAGACTTCCTACTTACATATCCCCCAGACATTCCCCGCTGGACTTCCCCCTCCATCAAATAGGACTTCATCCCCCAGTCATTTACCCCCCTCCCCGCCATGATCTTAAGACTTATTTTCATTTAATATGACATTTTGCCAATAAAATGTAAAAAATTATATTAAGTTATGATAAAATAAAAAGGTTATTGGAAGTAAATCTTAGTAGTAAGTATTAAAATAAATTAACATTTTCACATATTAAAAATTGTATTGTTTAAAATTTAATGTTGTAAACAATTACTTTTAAATATTTCTATGATGTCACGATTGTCGAATTTATAAGCTGAATTCGATAAAGAATAAAAACATACGAGAATCACTTGCGAATTGGTTGATAAGATCGGTGATGAAAGGTAAAATAGTGTTAGGTGCTGCCAAATAAGCGTGAATAATTACATAATGGAGTCGATTTTTTTATAGACCAATCTGATATTGGAAAGGTACAGGAGCAATTAATCAAACTCACCGATGCAGCAGGTTTCATACGAGCTGTATCCGCAGATTGGTTGTCACGACAGGCCATATGGCAAATTTATCTTCCATGTCCCAGAACAATTTATGGACGGTTTGATGTCAGCACACGCAACGAAGTTTGTCAAGTATATATCTTGTTTTTACCACATAAAATATACAAATGGCGCACATACAAATACGCGTTGACTGTCTTAGACTTTGGAAGAAGATACAAAGAGACTGAACCGTTATCGTCTTGAACAGCAGCGGAGATCGCCGCAGCGTTTCAAAAAATTTATTTGCGAGGACCATTGTAATGGCCACTATTGCTAAAGGCTGATGCTGGTGAAGAATTTCTCGCTGCAGTAACATCGCTGAAGCAGCAATAGCAAGTTAAGATCAAACGTAGAAACACCGCGGTACATCGCAATCAGGTAATCATTGAGCGATTTAATCAAAAACTTGCACAGTGACTCAATATGCCCAGGAAGTACTTCACGCTCAAGACAGATCCCGTGAATGGGTTGCGAGACTACCTCATGTGGTGGTAAATAACGAAGAAACGAATGGAATTAACATGAAATCTGTCGAAGGAATTGCGAAACAAAAATACTACGATGAAAATCATCATGTCAGCTTTAACAACCAGTGTTGGGTAGTAAAATAACTGAGGTATTTATATGAACCTGGTGAACTTGAGGGTGGTGCAGCGAAGGCAACTGATCTCGTGTTGTATGTAACAACAAAGTTTTCAGCGTAGTAAAATCTACTGCGCAGCCATCAATCTATGTATTACATTCAATAGCCCCTCAACGTGTATTTTTGCGTGAACACAAATTACAAGTAATTCCTGAAAACACCAGTTACCACCAGACTGAATACGTCGTCGCAGAAATCTAGCAGGTAACTCTCCAGACGTGTCAACATACAAG